TTAAAAAAAATAATAATAGAAGAGTAAAATTATGGTCCAGTTGCTGTTAAAATTCCTAAACTAATTTATTCATTATTAACTCAACTTATTTTTCTCCATTCACAATGGGAGTTTCATGTCTCAACTTCAATCAGTGTCTTATGCTATTAACAATTTCATCTTCCCATAGCACTAAGTTTATCCCTCTCTCTCTCTTCAAGAAGAGTTGCCAGGAACACCGCATTCTAAACCCTCAGTATGGGATCATCTGTTCTTTACCATTAGGTCCCTAACTCCTCAGCTGCATCTTCTACTGCTTCAGACCAGCACTTAGATCTAGTTGGATCAGAGTTCTCACCATTCTGCAGGTGTGCAGAATTCATCTGCAACTCATGGTGTTACATCAGATACAGTATCTATACTCAAGGGGCCCAGGTGTAGACAGGGTGGCAGACTTACTATCATAGAAGGTAATAAAGGAATCGACAATCTATGAGAACAAAGGCTTATGGGAAAACAGAAGAAGGGAGGATTAATTCAGCCAGGGATGAGGGTGTGGTGGGTGGAAGTGCTGGAAAAGGCTTCAGAGAGGAAGTAACACTTGAGTCAGTCTTTGGAGAATGAGTCTGATTTCATTGCGGGCAGAGGGAACAGCATGATACAAGCCTGAAAGTGAACAGTCCTCATCTGAGGCCTTCTAGCAGATGGCAGGCAGGATGGCTGACGTGGAGAGGCAGTGCTGATGAAGCTGCAGGAGCCAGGCTGGGAAATGCTTTGATGCTCTACCAAAAAAACTAAAACAGGAAGCTTCCTTCTCCCAACGTTCTGGAGCCGCTGTTCTTTGTGCACTCATTTTGGCAATCATTTTTCAAGTGTGTACCTTAAAACATCTTACTAAAAAGTGATTTATAGACCCCTGGAGAATCAGGAAAACCCACCTGTAAATGTCACTTTCTTCCTTCCTCTGAAAATGAGGGAAATGACTGTTTCTACATGATAAGGCTCCTATGATAATTCAGTAAGCATTTAACTAATGTTTGCTACTTATCATCCATTAAGCACTAACTGACCACTCACTATGGGGCAGGACCTGTGCTAGATTTCTCCTATACAGTGACAAGCTAAACAGACAGGGTTTTGGAATCTAGTAATTATTTTTATTACTATTGATACTACTAGTATTAATGTAGGTTTTTAATAAATAGTATTAAAACAAATGAATGTGCTTCAGCCATATCAACAACCTATCCTTGGTTGCACCAACTCCCTCTTGCCCTGTCCTGAAGGGTGCTACCTGATTGGCTGATGGACCAGACCTGCCACAGCCTCCACGATTCCAGTGTTTGTGGAGTCCAGCAGTCACACAATTGTGCAGCTTTGGTAGAGCCACTGTGCTATGTTCATCAGGCCAAGTGACCCCAGAGGGCTGTAGATATGAGCAACCTCAGAAGTATGACCATCTGTGCTCAAACACAGTCCGGGGCATTGTGTCAAATTTGGGCTGGCTGAACTGTTGTTAAAACTTGTAACCACTGCAGTCCAGGAGAGTGGAAATCCAGATTCCTAGAATTCTGTGATAAAGTTATAATTTGTTTTTACTGCTGGTGAAATGAACATACAAAAGCCAACACTGTCTAAGTTCAGGTGGACATGATGACTCCTTGCTTGAATAAGGGATGCGCTAGTTGATCTCTAAGTAGTAGAGTCTTCAAGTACAAAGAAAAGGAGTGTGGGTACATATTATAGATTGAAACCCGGAAGTCAACCTTGGAGACAGCCTGGGTCTGCTGGCCTGTGGCAGAAGCACTGGAATAACTATGCAGTGTGTGGCTCCATCATGATGCCAAGAAGAGTAATAGTAACTTCTTGGCAAAACTGTAAGAATAAAGCATGTAACGTCTGACCAGGAAACACATTTTTTCTATGTTTTATATTGTTTTAACTTTAGCTTTTTAATATTTTCTTTATTTTTTGGCAGCTAGGAATCCTGAGGGCAGATGATTTCTGATTATCAATTGTCTTCTTTTTTCACAAGTGGAAATTCTAATGTGTCTATAGGCAGCACCACAACCTCCCTTCAGGAGCAGAGCACAAGGCCACATCCTTCTCTGTGCAGACAAGATAGAATTTAGCATCTTTAATCTCCTTGCACGTCATGTCTACTGATTCCTTTTGGTTGGTCTAATAATTCCTTTAGACTCTCTCATGAACAGTTTATGATTTCTGATTTGTGTAAGCCATAGCTTCCACAAATGTTAGGCAATGACTTTTCCAAAAAAAATTTTTTTTGAGACTGAGTGTCACTATGTCACCCTCGGTAGAATGCCATGGCATCACAGGCCACAGCGACCTCAAACTCTTGGGCTTAAGCGATTCTCTTGCCTCAGCCTCCCAAGTAGCTGGGACTACAGGTGCCCACCACAACACCTGGCTATATTTTTGTTGCAATTGTCATTGTTGTTTAGCAGGCCCGTGCCAGGCTGGAACCCGCCAGCCTCAGTGTATGTGGCCGGTGCCCTACTCTCTGAGCTATGGCTGCCAAGCTGACTTTTCCAAAATTTTTCAGCATCTTTAAACATTCCCTTTAAAAAGACATTTGAAAACTTAAAGAAGATACTAGAAACAGATATGGCCAGTATAGACGCTGAGGTCTAACTATTGAGAACAGGGTCAACTTTGAAAGCCTGACTGCCTATGTGCCCCTATTTAAATTACTTTGAGATATGTTTTGTGAAATACTGCCTCAGTGTCAAGGTAATATTAGTACTTCTATTACCAAGAAGTAGATGTGTTTTGAGCTGGAACAGGGCACACCTTCAAGTAAAAAGGAATGTCTTACACATGTCAAACAACAAATGAATCGTTTTGAAATTACTCTGAAGAAAAAGGTCTCTTGGGAAGTTATGGGATATAATAAAACACGTTATGTAGAATAGATAATTAGAGGAAGTGGATGAAGTTATCCAGATAAGAGAATAGCCTTAGCCAAAGTTAAACAAACAACAAACACTGATCCACTCAATGTTGTACTGGAGAAGCGATAGGCGCTGCTGGGAGAAACCACTCGGGACCTTTCCAGCTGACCTCTGACCTACATCAGCCACACGGTGAGTCAGGACTTTTGACAGTGATGTAACCTGACTGCATAAAGTCACTAGGTCTGTAGTGTCCCTCAACACGCAGAGTCACATCCTCAAGTCTCACTTTGTCTTTGCAACTAAGTAATTTTTATTAATATTTGTGAAGCAAAGTGTGGGTGAGTTGTAGGCTGTGGCAGACAGCAGCCGAAGGAGGCAGGAAGCTCAGGCTCACCTAAAAGATTATGAAAGGCAGACAAATCTGGGATCTCATATCCCCAGTGTGTGGAAGAGGGGCATCATCCTGGAGGCTCTCAGTTGAATACCTTGTGCTTCGCCTGGAACAGAAAAATAAAATTAAAGGATCTAGTTGTAGATATTCAGAACTCACTGCCCGGTGGGGGCTGCACTTAAAGAGAGTCATCCTGGGAGGGGCAGAGCCAAGCTGAGGTAATGGGCATGTGCCACCATGGCTGTTGTCAGCCCCAGGCTGGCCGCCATCAACTTTCTAGAGTCGGGACCTGAGCCAGCATTTACTCCGGGGGTGAAGGGAGAGCCCAAACAGTGCTTTAACACTGATTTTGCAAGTAGAGTCTATTTTTTAGGGCAAGATATAATGACCAACGGAGAGCTTCACAAACAATCTTGGCTCCAACTCAATTGTATTCAGCAGCAATTACTGAGAACTAATCGTAGGGCACTACTGTGATATAAAATCGTTCATGTCCTTAAAGAATTTAAGATCTGGCAGTGCCCATAGCTCAGTGGGTAGGGTGCCAGCCACGTACACAGGGGCAGGTGGGTTCAAACCCGGCCCAGGCTGGCTAAAACAATGACAACTACAACAACAAAAAAATAGCTGAGTGTTGTGGCAGGCACCTGTAGTCCCAGCTGCTTGGGAGGCTGAGACAAGAGAATTGCTTAAGCCCAAGAGTTGGAGGTTACTGTGAGCTGTGACACCACAGCACTCTACCAAGGGTGACATAATGAGACTCTGTCTCAAAGAAAAAAAAAAATTTATAATCTATAAATAAAATAAAATATTCAACTAAACAAAACATACAAAAATAAGAAGGCAAAAAACACACAAAAAGTAAGTTCCTTGAGATAGCAGCAAAGAATTGTGGAGATTCAGTGGCAGGAAAGAGTACGTCCTCTGGGGCATACCCAAGATAGAAGGTGTCAATGTGGGGATAATTTTGAAAGGTAGAGTCCTAGAAAGGGAGGAGCTTATCCTGGGCAGAGGACATAGAAACGTCCTAGGTCAGCCTATGTCCCCTTTAATCATAAAATCTGAAACAAAGTGGCTTTCCAGTAATAGACACGTGAATTGCCACTCCTCAAATGAGGGAATGCACTATTTGTCATTTGTGTCACCCTCAGCCTACTTTTCATTTTCTGCATTATGCCTAGCCTTGTAAACTGTGATAGAAGGTGAGACATAGCCAACGTGATCACTTTCCCCAAATCAAAGCGGTCAGCTTCTGGTTAAAGATGGGCTGAGGTTCAGAGATTTTTCAGCTGAGCACTGGCTTTATTCACTTAATCCATCCTGATGGCACGTTAAATGTTATACTCATAAGAGTCTGTGTACCCAGAGTCTGTGTAGGGATCTCTGTGCCCTGCTGGAGCAGATAATATGTGCAGGGAAGGAGACGAGAGGAGCCAGACAAGTCCTACTGGTCTGGCAAGGGTCCCACCTAATTCCCATGACGCATCCTGTGCAGGTGACACATTCTCTAAGGGGTGGATAGGCAGTGAATGACATGGAGAGTAGGAGGTGTGGATTCAGCTCTTTTTTTTTTTTTCTACAGTGGAGCATTATCTGAACGATGCTCATTCTCTCTTGAATCTGGACTTCAGGCAACAAGCAGCAACTGGATGTGATTTTAAAATAAGCGCAAGCTGCTGACAGGCACCCACCTGGGGCCTCCTTTTGGGAAGAGAGTTGGTTGAGAAGTGCTTCTTGGCTAACAATTAAGCACAAGGGAAAATCCAGCAGAAATAGAAGAACTGTGGGTTTTTCACCCCAAACTCCAAAGAAGCTATGCCCTGAAAAACCTACGGACCCACAGACACGCCGCAAGTTGGACGGGGCATCAATTCTTCCTTTGAGGAATAGAGAAAAAAAGGAAGAAGCCTGTCATTCAGAGTGTTTGAAGGATGGCCTCCCAGTTCCACCAGCTTCGGATCCTGGTTTGGAAAAATTGGCTGGGTGTCAAAAGGCAACCGGTGAGTTAAAAAAGGTGGGGAGTGCGGGGCGCGAGGCAGTTCTCCAGGCAATCCTAAAATGGGATGTTAAAGAGATGTAAAAATAGGAGAGTTTAAAAGCATTTTCCAAATTAAGAAATAAGATATTTAGAATTCATCCCACTTATCTGTCTTATAGCTAATGAAGCCAGTCTTAACATGACCCCAAAGTAGTCTTTTGAGTTCAGTAAATTAAAAGAACAAACCAGGATGCGCCCCAGGCAAGGGAAAGGATGTGCCTTGTTCCTGGCTGAATTTTGGAACCAGTGCTGAATTCTGGGTTCAGGCCAAAATGCTTTCAGAATTTTTTCGTAATGAATTTAGTTAAAAACAAGATGAAGGAAGACAAAGTGTCACTTGAAAGGTACAATACATGGGAGGAAATGTACTAGAAAACCCAAAGCAATACAGAGTTTGGATGAAAGGTAAGATTCTAGAACAGAAATAGCTTGCAGGCTGTGGGTATAGAAAAGCTTCTAAGACGTTTCAGTATCTAAAAATCATTTACTGGAAATGCCCAATAAGGCTGTATCCCTGAACCATGTTGTAAGGGTACTCTTGAGTCCCTGAAATTTCCTGATACAGTCTGTCTGCTTTTTGTTTGTTGCAGCATCTTTTCTGTGCTCTTCCGTTAACATTGGCTTTTTCTATTTCCAAGTCAGCTCTTAGATCCTCAGCAGATAGAGTCTAGGAAGACGAGGAAGGAATTGGGTTTTGCGAATTGTCATACTTTCAGAAGAGTGTTTGAAAACTAGGGAAGTCCAAAACTGCATTCAAGAACTTCATTTTGGCGTGGTAATTCCCAGCCTTGAGTAATATAAATAT